AATAACATCATCCCAACATTTGCAACTTATGCTAATGCTGCTCTAAGAACCCTTGGGTGTTATTACAAAGAAGTGGATAAAATCCCCCATCAGTGATCTGCCTGGTCAATCACATGCTGGAAAGATCTGAAGCATTTACATTTCAAGCTGGCTACACACTTACTACTGTATTTGTCCACTACATTATCTAGTGCAGGGATCTTTTCCAGGCAAAGGACTCCCAAACTGATGGCAAGATGGAGCTGGGACCCCCTAATTATATATATTGTATAAAATTGTGTTATATCAAACTTGTCCTACAGTCCCTCTATTGCAGATTGAGTCATGTGACGAAAGTAATTTCACCCTGGGATTATTAAGTATTTCTAATTCTGATTCCTTATTGATGGGACAGGTGTTGTGAATGAAACGGTGCCCAGCGTGAAAGAGCTCATGTGTGTTGCTGAATGCCTGCATTGACGACTGAAAGACAACTTCTGCCTCAGTTTATTTGTTTACTACAGCGTGTTGAATTCATGTTAACGTGTATTTAAAGACATTTGAATTAGTGGAAAAAATTGCAGGGGGAATATAAAAAAAGTGTAATCAACCAAAGCTTTTGCGACCCCCATGCAGTACCTCTGTGGACCCCCTAGTGGTCATTGACCCTCTGTTGAAGACCTCCGAACTAGTGCAAAACATTCTCATTGGATTGATCGCACAACTCTCCCCCTTTCTGACTTCCCAGGTGGCTCATCTGGTTTCTAGATAAGGACCCAATTTGCTATGTCGTCTGTCAGAAATACACTCATTCCATATATCTGATAAGTGATGGAGGGGAGATGTGTGTCATGCTGCATTGCAACACAGTCCGTAAGAAAAGTTTAATCAATCAATCAATCAAGCAAGCAATCAAGCAATCTTTATTATCAACTACAATTTTCATTGTATTTGAGATTTCAGTTTCAGTACAAACCGATCATCACGTTGATCACAGACGCATACATACATACATTACTTGATACGTATGGGACCGGTCCGTTCATTGGCTCTTATTTTAAAATTTACCGGATCCATTTTACTCTCTGCGTGTCTGACCTTATATGTGGCTCAGCTGATATCTGATACATCATCATAAAATGGACTTGGAATACCTGATGGATGACGAAGGGGAGCTGGTCTACAAATGACCTCACTAACTAGGAAAGCTTTTATTTTTGACAGAGGGGAGGATGCATAATGGAGTCTGTGTGAATGTGGGCATCCTGCAATTAGACATTCAGTTAGAATATTTTTTCTTTTGGAATACATTTAAAAAGTTTCCAAAACAGTCATCAACAATATGCTATCTGAAATGGTAGTTTAACTTCCACCAATGAACAGCATCTAATGATTCAATTAGTTATGTTGCTTTTGTCCTCATCATGTTAGCATTTCCATAGATTTGAAAACAGCAATAGCTTTCTCTTTTCCTATTTGTAATTTTTCAAATTTGATGCTGGTTTTACCATACCACATGAACCTAGAAATAATCTGGTTACATGTTTTAAACTTTTTGTCTGGAGTTTTTACAGGTTGTGTTGGAAAGAGGTAAAGAAACATAGGTAAAAATGTTTTTATAGGTTGTGGAAGAGAGGAAATTTCTGAAAAGTAAAATGGTAAATTTTTGTGGGTAAAATACTTAAGGAACCAGTTCCGAGACGTTGCCTTACAGATTGCCCGCATCAACACCTAATGGCCAACAACAGTGTGCACACAATTTCCTCCTTATCTGCAAATAAATTGAACTGTTGGGGAAAAAACCCACTCTAAATCAAGTCACAAATCGAGACTGCATTACACTTAAAACACACAATAGAACTCAACACACACAAACAAATTCTACTGCATTTTTGCACCATACATATTTGTTTTTGCACTGCTCTGAACTTCCAAATCAATGCCTTTGGCATCATGTTTTCCCCCCACACTGTTTACATGTGATCACTGCTGCACTTTATTAAAATGGAAATGCTCATTTCACTGCCAAGCTGCTGCTCATTTACTGTCTGTAAGCTGTACAAAAAGAAACTTTATTTTGTATACACTCTGTATAAAAAATGACAATAAAAAAATTACAATAAAAGTTGTCTCAGTTCTCATAATGGTCTTCCAATGCTCCTCCTGAGCAGCCAGGGGACCAAGTGACGCCACAAATAAAGTATAGATATAGATCTCTGCCCACTGGTTACCACCAACCCGCCTGAAAATGTGGCATCAAATCCTACCTAAAACTGCTGGCTAAGGATTAGGTTAAATACAATAAGATCATTATTACGCAGATCGGAGAATTAGCGTTGCTTTGGTGTGTAACTTTACCAAAACAATGTCGAACTCAATGTCCAAATTTTCTCTGGTCCCCTTCCTGATCTGACCAGTGAGGACATGTTTAGCCGCATGTTGTCATTTAACTGCTGGTTGTCTAGGCGGTGTCCTGAAAAAAACCTAGGCTACTTTATTAATTTGCAATCTTTGTGAGGAAAACCTGGTCTGATTCCGGGAGACGGCATTCATCCCACTTTGGATGGTGCAGCTCTTCTTTCTCGGAATCTGGCCAAATTTATCAGTCCTCAAACACACTGACAACCCAGAGTGCAGACCAGGAAGCAGAGTCGTAGTTTAACACACCTCTCTGCAGCTTCTCTACTATTACCTTTACTCCATCCAGACAGTGTCTTGCCAACAACCAAAATCAAATAAACGAGAAAAGATTTCCAAAGTAATAAATCATGACAATCTAATAAAAATTTAAATAAATCCATTTGGGGATAAAAAGTATTAAAACAATTAAATGTGGTTTATTTAACATTACATAACTTTCTTTAAAAAGTCTATTAGTTAAAAACTTGATTTATAATAATCCCAGTGATTTATGTTGCCTGCAGCAAGAGCAAGATTATGTAAGTATAAATGAGGCAATGCCCTCTAGTTATTTAAATTTTCAAATACCCAGAAATTGTGGGCTAGAAAGAGCAGTAGCAGCAATCTTTCAGTCTGACTTACTGATAACTCCAAATGCAGTTAACAATTTAAACTCTTTAAACATTTTAATCTTAGTTTCCCATATCCCATATCGTTTTGCAACTTTGTATCATCCACCAGGTCCTTACTCAAAATCTTTAGATGAGTTGTCAGAGTTCCTATCTGATTTGGTGTTGACTACTGACCGGGTCATTATAGTGGGGGATTTGCAACAACCATGCTGACATTGAAGGTGATAGCTTCACCCCTTGCTCACACTGGCTCCAGTGCGGTTACCGAGCCGACGGAGACCGCAACTCCCGCACACCCCCTCTCACACCGCCCTTTTGACTACGGTGCGGTGCGGCTCTGCGGCTTCGGCAACAGGTCCGGAGATTTAACTCACGAGAACAGAAGTTCACTTGAGTTCACGTAACTTCACGCGATAACACGGCCCAAATAAGGATATTTGCGGAATTTTCTGCAGCGCCGGAGTGTCTCGGTAACCGCAGCCGGACAGCTCAGCAGCCGGTGAGAGAGGTTTACGTCTTTTTAATTACTTGGAATCACTGCGGCGCCGCACCCACCGCACCGCAACGGTAAGACCGGAGTCGGTGTGAGCCTGGGGTAAGCCTTTAATGCTTTCTTAAAAGCTATTGGCTTTGTTCAAAATGTTCATAGTCCCACACATTCTCATTTTCATACTTTTAACCTTGTGCAGGCATATGGCATTGAATTTGAAGTTATAACAGTTTTTCCTCACAATCCTCTCTGACCACTTTTTAATAACCTTCAGGATTACTCTAACAAAATTCTCCTCCCCCCAAAAAAGATTTTGCTTCAGCAGATCATTATCAGATAGTGCAGTTATAAATTTGAAAGAATCTGTTTTACTTTCTCTCTCTCTCCTATGTGTCGCTGAGCAGTGCTGCAGAGAGCAAAAGGTTTGTTTATTCTCGTTCACAGGTTTACGATTTTGTTGATGGGGTCTCTAGTTCTCTGCATACTGCATCAGACATCGCAGCCCCTTTGAAAAAAAAAAGAAGAGAAAATAGGAACCTGACTCCCTGGTTTAATGCAGAGCTGTGCACGCTGAAGCAAAATGCTAGGAAACTGGAGGAAAAATGGTGCTCCACAGGACTACGGTAATCCTATCTAGTCTGGAAAAAGATATACACGGGAAAGATTTGTCAGAATAAGAATGTACTTACCAGGTAGTGAAGTCCCAAGTGCCACAAAGACAACTGCAGTGACACTGTCTCTAAGGCCAACAGTGCAGCCAAAATGGGAAGCAAGGTCTCCAATAATAGCAGTTAAAATACCAATGACAGAGATGGACACAATGAAGCAGGCCCAGCCATTCCAGTACTTAGTGGGCGGGACAAAAGCAAATAAAAGCTTCCAGAAAACGCAAAATATGTGCATAAAATAGTCAAAGCAGTTGGGCATTCTTTGCTCTTGTCCATCCTCATCATCACCTGTTTAAAGAAAAGACAGTTATTTTTTTCATTAAATAACTATCCAAGCAGCTGAGAGCAAGAAAAAAGCAAACCATATTTATCTTAGAATGCTTGGCAGACGGCTGAAGGGTTTGAAACAGACTATTTGTAATTGTTAATTGTGTTCTCCACCTTGGAAAAACCTCCCTCCCACTAAAGAACAGTAACCAGAGAGCACTATATTGAACCACTTTCACTTTGATGTTTTCTAGGTATAACATAACAATTTCTTTGTATATTTTGTAATTTATGTGTTTTCTAATTGGTCTGAAACTCTTCTGCTTAACTGTTTTAAAATGAATGTGGTGCATTTCATTTATGTATTTTTTTTTGTTATGGACAGTTGAAGAATATATCAGGAAGCTGAATTTAAACTGCAAAACTGCATCAACAACCTTTGAAGTTCAAATAGATACGGGGGGGGGGCTTTGGGGGGCTAGAGCAGTTTTATTATGTGTGATGGTAAAAAAGGGAAAAGGAATGCTTAATTATCAAATCTTTAATCTTTAAGGACCCGGTTTCTGAGTCAAATTTTGATCCAGAAAGTAAATAGATTAGACAAAAATCAACAGGAGAACCTTTGGTGTCCAACCTGCTACAGCAAACTATGTTCAGATTGCATCATTTTATCATCAATCCTGCTCTCAGAGCATCAGTTTGACTTGCTTTCTCTGTTTTATAGCTTTAATAAAGTGCCTGATGGATATAAAGCTGATTCAAAGCATTTTGAATGAAATATTTTCTTTCATAAAACAACAAACCCTATCTAGTTGCACAGTTTAGTATAGCCACAGCTCCAGACAGATTTCCACATTATTGTGGTCTAGGCTCCGGAACAACAAGAACTGCGATGGATAACAGTGAGTTACTGCAGGCGAAGACCCACAGCTCGAACCCCACCGGACCGGAGCCATGAGCCGAACAAGGTTAACACCACATTGGAAGGGAACTGTTTCCCACCCGGACAGCAGAAAGGATCGGGTGCTTGGACCGCTCGCTGCGATTGGGTTACCGATGGACTGCTTTTCCCATCCCGGCACAGCAGCGGAGCACAGCCTGCTATCCAGAACTGCCAGCACCACACACAGGGCTCCAACACCAACCCCCAGGCTTCACGTCTGGCTGCAGCAGCATGCTGGCAACCGAACCAAACCCAGCCACCACAGAACCAATCCGAATCCTGTGATCCCCTCTTCAAACAAAAGGTCTACTCTGGTTTAAACTAATTAAAAAACAGCACCATCTGGAAAATGTTCGGAAAGATAATGAACTTCCACCGGATCTGCATAAGATCAAAGACCATTTAGCAGCAGTGATTAAACCAGAAAGCATTAATAAAACCCCTAAAACTTGTAAAATGACTACTTCCTGACTAAACTGACGTCACGGCATCCTACAGCGCCTTGATCACATGAACAAATGAGGAATTTAGCATCTTCTGCTATCTTAGTGAATTATTTAATGATATAAACATGGTATCTCTGCTCCCGTCTCCTTGAACCCCAGTCGGCCTCGGTAGATGGCCGCTCACACCGATTCTGGTTCTGCTTTCCTTAGATAGAGAACTTTAAATCAATTAGACTGATATCTGGTGAACTGTAAAGAGCCTTGAGATGAGGTGTATTGTGAATTGACGCTATATAAATAAACTGAATTGAATTGAAACAACAAAATGCTGGAAATATTTTCACTTGTAATGTATTAAATTTTGTACACACTATCAAATGAGAAACTACAAGTATGTGTTTTTTATTTGAACTTTAAGGGTGTGAACAGGTATGCACCTAGTCCTTTTTCACTTTTTCCATTTATTAACTTCAAAGTATTTAAAAAAAGGTTTGCAGAAATTCTGGAGAGATGTTAGTGATTTTTAAACATTAGAACCCAAGGTCTTTAACAGGGGGTTGTATATTTATGAGTGCATCTGTATTTGTGTTTTATTTTTATTTCTTCATCAAGAACTTTTACGATATGATATTCTGTTTATCTGAGAGGAAACTAAAATTAGCAAGAACTTGTGCCAAGGTACAGCCTAAATGACCTGATGACGAGCAGAGCAAATTTAATGCTAAAAGAGAAACCCTTCAGCTCATCCATCAACCAAAAAAGAAAACAGCAAAAGCAAACTGACCTGCATTCACTGTGACAGCTTCTATGAACTGCTCTTTCCACGAGTGAGTGCCAATGACTCCAGCTAGATTTGTGTCTTTGAGAAGTTGGTCCACAGTGACCTATTGCATTAAATAAAACAGGTTAGAGGGCAATAATGATATATATCAAGGAAGACAATGTATTAGATGAGCCTTCAGCTAATGGTACAATACTAAATAAATGTCTAAAAAAATGTAAATTAAATGTAAAAATAAAAGCAAAGATGAAGAATTGCTCACACAGCAAACACTAATGGGCAGAGAAAGATTATTCTGTATGTAAGAGAACAACTGCAAAAGTGTACAGCTGCCGTGAAAAAGTACATATATATATATATATATATATATATATATATATATATATATATATATATATATGTAT